ACTGCTCCCTTCACTCTTATGAACACAATGGTATAATTTTCCAGAACATTGGTGCAAAATTGATAAGGATGGAGTATCCTTATATAGAAGAAGAGAAGGGGAAGAAGACATTGGTAGCTGACTCATTTCTACATAAAAATTCCTTAGTGCGCACGACGGCGATTCTAATTGATCTACACGCCCTTCCCTGATTGGGACCAATTTGGTTCCAGTCAGGGTACACTTTTTGGTCCAACTTTCTCCGAATTGAATTCCGTTTGCACCGTTGCGGTCAGACAGTTAAACTCTATCCATAAATATAATTTTTATATTTATTTGTAACACTTTTTCCGACATCATATTTTTGGATGGTTGACTTTGACAGAGTCAAAATTGATTTAATTGACTTTTATTCAAAAAGGTTCTCACATTTAATTCATATTATTTATTTCTATGATTTATTTCAAAATATCATTTCAAAGTTCACATTATAAATAATTTCTTCATTTATTCTTAATTTGGGTCTGTACTCAGGTTTCCAATCAAGACCACACAAAAAGTCAATATATTGGATTTATCTCTATGAGATTTATCCAGAGTGTGATAATAGATATCAAAACATATTTCGTATCGGCCCAAAGCCCAACAACAATTTATTTTAATCAAAACAAATTTGTTTAATCAAATAATTATTTAATAATAATTCTAGGGTATGTTTTGGGGCGTTACATTTCTCACCCCCTTAAAGAAATTTCGTCCTCGAAATTTTTCTAAAGTCCATAATTGTCATCATGACTGCGTCTTGTTCACATGGTTACATCGTTATCTTACACATACGCATTCTCATCCGTTGATATCACTAAACTCGTTCAACATTCGAGAGTTTAACAAACTTCGAATAAGCAAAGCATTCAATGATCTTTTGGAAATTTGGAGGTTGTTTCAATTCATACGTTGTAACGTAATTTTTCAGGTTACTCGAGGGGTCGTTGTCTTAGGGCAATAGCCATATTGACTTTTCATTTCTGATTTGAACGTATTTTAGGACAGCGAATCCAATTGTTCATGAGTCTCGATATGTCAGATCGTCAGCAGACTATAGTATTGGCAAGTATGTCATTGTCAATAGGTAAATTGAATCTATCTTTGCTGTTCAAAATTTGACTGAGGGTAACTACCCTTTTTCAAAGGTCAAGGTTTTCAGAGCCTATATATATCACGATTGTGGCATGAGCATTTCACATTCTCACATTATGGAAGGAACATCTCGAACTTTTCCTTACACCATAAAATTTGTTGGTCTACTTGGTAGTCATGCTCTTGGTAGAAATCCAAATTTCATCGCTACGACGGTGGATTTAGGAAGGGAATTGGTAAGGCGAAAAATTAGACTTACCTATGGAGGAGGCAACGTTGGCTTTCAAGGAGCTGTTGCTTCAACAGTCTATACCAATGGTGGTATAGTTAGAGGCTTCATACCAGGGTACATAGCAGCACGACAAGTCTATGGGCCTACGTATGGTGCAGAATACACAGTTTCCAGTAATTACTATAAGTATTTCGAGATGAATCATGTTGTGGAGGCCTTCATCGTACTTCCTGGAGAGATTGATACTATGGAAGGTTTGTTCACTTTGATCTCATGGGCATATGAAGGGTTGCACAGTAAACCCATTGGTCTCTTGAATATTGACGGTTATTTTAATAACCTAATCAAATTTCTAGATGATGCGGTGAGGCAGAACTTCATGGCTTCCAGTCAGAGAAAACTTTTCATATCTTCTTTCTTTATTGATGAGCTTTTAGACAAGCTAGCGTTTGCTAAAGCTTTTCCGGGTCCTGGGGCTAGTTATGACGAGTTTGCAAATCCCGGGGGATTAGATTTAGAATTGCATTTGTAATATTACTTTATGTAATTTCAATTGAATTTATGTTGGAATAATATTGTCCATGATTATTATGAGTTAACCATAAATATTATTCTAAGCTACATGGCCAGTGCAAGTCAGAAAAATATCTATTTTCAACATCAGAATGCATCATGTAAATATCAAACATTTTCTCAAGATGGGTCAAATGAAAGATTTCATTATACAATGGTTTCAACACACGTAGGTTCAAGAAAATATGAATATTCTTGAGATTCAAATCGAAAGATAATTTCTTGTTTACAAAAGGTTTCTACATTATTCAATATATCCTCGAGCCCTTGTATCACTTTAGGATCTTCACAGAGTATCATCCTTGGGTTGGACTCTTTGAATTGCTTCGTGTTTTAGAGCGTTGACTTGTTCCTGAGCGAACAGGTTGATTTTGGACAGAAGTAACTGAATATGATTCAGGGTTAGAGGGACATTCTCTTCGGAAATGTCCAGGTTCACCACAAATTAGACATAATCCTTGTGCAAGCCAGCAATCTCCCGGATGGTGTCTTTTACAAACATTACACTTTGGATGTTTCCATACCCTCATTTTGTTCATGGATGACGTCGATTGAATTGTCATTGATTTTCCCTTTTTCGAGTGAATGGCACAATCAATTTCTTGCAGGGGTCTCTTCCCATTTGAATTTGGTCGTTCATTTGGATTGACATTCTTATTCTTCAGACTTTCATAGTAATCACTTAGATCTTTTTCGGCTTTGGAGATTAGATCGTATGCCTCAATGAAATCCATAGTTTGAATAGTAGATACGTGCGGCCTGAGGTCAGGTCGAAGTCTTTTGCGAAACTCCTCAATGCGGTCCGCCGCTGTACTCACTAGCGTGGGTGCAAATTAAGCGAGATGGACAAATCTTTGTCGGTATTCAGGGAGTGTCATATCT